TGAGTTAAGAGCATGAATTCACTACACAAGAAGGTGAAACACACGTGGGGAACAAGAACCTCTTCATCACCAAAGGCTAATGTTCTGAGAGCAAAAAAGTCTGCCTGCTCAAGAATTTCTACCAACAGTGGATTTAGACATGATTTAGACAAACACAGGAAACCAGAATAGGACATTCCAGTGAGTTCATTTATTCAATTAAAACTAGAGACAAAGGAAATCATCTCACATAGCATGAAAACACACCACCTTTGCTAGAGAAAGGACTTGTACCTTTTACTGCCATGGAGCAAGGGATAGCACCAAAATCATCAGGTTCCGTCAAAGAAAACTGGTGCTGAGCTACAGCGTTTCAATGCAAGAGAACACAGTGTATCTGGGGTTTTGTGCTTTGACACTTGCAATAGTTTGCATTGTCTTACCTTTACATTTTGCAGAGTTTCATAAAAGCATTGAGTTTTACTCTAAATACGCTCCTTCTCACACAGTCCTTTAAAAACCTAAACCAATTATCTCACCAACTTCTTCATCTCACATTTTCTCATCCTTACCAATTTAGAAATCCCATTACAAAAGCAACAACTAATAAAAAGCTTGTGCCTCATTCTAGTCCCTATCTGGTTAATGTTTTTTTTTTTTCCATTGTAAGATCCTTTATCAATATAGATGAGTTTATCTATGCACATTTTGTGCTTCCTTCCATTCAATCTTGTTTGCGTAAACAGCTCTTCAATCTAAGGCAAATTATAACAATGCTTCCTTTTTCATCAAGGAAGAGACATTCCCACCTGTATTAAGATCATTAGAAAAAGAACTAGAAGAGTGCAAGAGAGCCACAATCTATAAATGCATCAATATTATGCTAGGTTTAAGGGTAGTGTGGGTGATCTTTTCAAATTTGATCCAGAAATACCGTCATTCAGTAAATGGTGTTACATGCTTTTAACTGTGCTAATACAATCTCACCATCTTCTTTCCTGTTTTGAATAGGAATACAAATATTACCATTAAAGAGCTTTAGCATTTGACAGGGTTGCTTGGCTAAATATGTCAGGTATTCTTACAAGCTGCAAGTCTAAAGTCAGTCTTCTCATGGCTAGAATTACCTACTGGGCCTTATTTCCCTTCTCCACTTATTTCTGTTGCTATGAAAAAGCCCTATTAATTTCCGAATATTTCAAGAACTCTGAACACTCATGCATTGCATTATATAAAACAACATTTTTTCTTCTTTCTTTCAGAAGCACCTGTCAAGCTAGACATAACTTCAGTTCTTTCACAGTGTCAAAGACTGTCCATCTCAGCCATGTTTCTAGGCAACCAAAGAAGTTTTGCTTCTCAGTGACATATTCTTTGAAATATAGTGAAACTAACTCTAATGATTCAAAGGATTGCCTGAATTAGTGCCCCCTCTCACACTCCTTATATAAATACTATGCAACAGGGGAACTCCTCTTTAAACCACTGGAATTCTTCCCTTGCTCAACCTCCTCTTGATTCACCTCAAAACTTAGTTGCCACGCAAAGATCCCTCTCTCACCAAGGACAAAACCTTCAGGCTGCTCACTGCTCTTTCACATTACATGCAAAAAAAAAAAATAGTTCTGAGTAACAGAAGAGTATTCCCATGACAGTGATTATTAAAAAAAAACACCCAGACAAAAGCCATAGCTTTGTTGCTAAAATAGTTGATAAAGATGAACCTACAGTCTTCATAGTAAATGAAACTATTTATGCTGCCATTTTTTCTTTGTTCCGCTTAATATTCCTATGTTTTGGACTTCTGCCTCACTCTTTTAGGGCCATACATGAACCAGTTCTTCTCAATTCTTAAGTGATTCACATGGATACATAAATTGGTATCTGCAAATACCAGTGTAGAGAAATTATAATGAGTACTCAGCTACATAGTACTTTTTACATACATGTAGCTTATTATTCAACATTAGCACGTAAACGCTAATGTATACTTAAAGTATACTTAAAGCTTCCAAGTCTGAAGGAAGAACTATGAAAGACATTGGCTATCCAGTATTATCAAATGTCTACAACACCCCCCTTCATTTTAATACCAACACCCATCTCCTCAGATATGGATAAAATGTAGTTAAAAATTGACTTCTGGGATGCAAACAGGAGAATTTCAGCTTATTCAGTTGCATCTGGAATACTTCAGAAGATCCGAAAAAAGCTACTGGAACAATAACCATACAGATGATTGAAAAATTTGCACATTACTTATAACAATTTACCAGAATCAGCTTAAATCGAATCAATCCACTTTCAATCCTCAGTTATTGTGAGTATGCAGAAGACACTATTTAAGTTCATTCTCCTTTAACTTTACTTTGCACCTTCGTGCAGCCTAACATTTCCACTCAGGTTTAATTTGATCATCTATTGCTGTTGACAATGTAGCAACACTTCACCTGCAGTTCTTTTCAGTGTAACCAGAAACTTACATCTGAGCTATCTAGAGAGGGGCTCACCAGCATGCTTCTCATTTATGACTAGACAATGCAGTTCAAACAGCATTTGGAACATAAATTACGTGGCTAGTACAGACTTTTAGTCAAACAGGACAAGACATAATGACAGGCTGCTATCTTGCTTCTTTTACCTCTTAACAGCTATTCAGGCATTGGCTTATTACACCAAAACAATGTGACCAAGCACTCCTTGGCTAAAGCTAGTATTTTGACACTTACTTCTATTAGATAAAGCAGAAGCTCTTGTCTCAAGCATAACAGAGTACATGTTGATTATAGGTAGTATCAGCTAGGAAGACTCAGCCTCCAGCTCTTTTCAGTTGTGGAGTTCCATAGAAGAGAAAAAGAACAGGTACACTAACAACGTTATGCCAACATCCATTATTTTTAAATAAAGCATAATTAACATCTAGCCTGAAAAATAACTAAATCTCTCTCCTCCCTTTCCAAAAGGAACTTAAAACTGGGAAATGTATTCAATTCAGCCTGTGTAGGGTCTTTTCTCTCTTCACAAAATATATTTAGATAAAACATTTTATGTTCAGAGACTACAGTCAGCTTCAGCTTTTCTTAGTTCTTAAGTATTCACTAACAGAAGCCACAGTAAGCAAAACCAAGAAAGAATTCAAAGACAGCAGACAGTGCAGAAGAAAAGAATAAGGTATACTTAAAGCATAGGAAAGTATTAGCAGAAGCACAATTCATCAATACTCAACAAATGCAATACTGTAGTGACAGAAGAAAAAAGCTACTACATAGTTCACACAAGATGCCCAACCTGAGCACAGAAAATTGTTTCTTTTGTGTCATCTTAGATGTTATACCTCCTTCAAGATCAGAAGACAAAAAACCTACTATACTTTTTGCCAACTACATGTTTTATACCTTCATAATTTTATAATCATCAGGCTGCTACTAAAAGTAGCAATGGATCTCAAAAAAGTTTCTTGCTTCATTCAGCAACAATATTACAAATATTACGCTGAATAATACTTGCTAATACACAATATTCTTTTCATGCATTACTCTCATGAGAAAGAGGAAAGCTTTTATCAACAACTCATATTTGGTGAGCTTTAGTAACCAGCAATCACATGAAAAAAATCTAGAAGATTTTCAGCATTACTAAGAACTCCAACAAGATCCATCTTGAAGGTGGGTGAAGATTTTGTTTCCTAGGGCATGCCTCTATCAGAAAAAAAGGCTTCTACAGGTCCTTAAAGCTGCAAAGGTACACCAGAGTTTTGGAAAAACACTACTTGTTATAAACAAATGATTACCTGAATTACCTCAGTCCTATAATTCAGCCCATTGGTGGTCAGAATCACATTATTTATACGAAGTACTGAAGATGGAACAAAAATCCCATTAAGAGCAATTACAACCTAATTCTCACTAATACTGGTAAGTTTTCTTCACTGTAAGCAGAAATCTAAAAATCAGACTGACTGATTTAATATATACCAAGAAAAAAGTATCATACTTTAGGGGCTACAGTCAGGATCTATAGTTTTCATGAACAGACCAGTTTATTATATGAAGTATAATAATCAATGCTGTTAACTGAAGCTGTCTCCCATGAACAGGTCCCTTCTGCGCTGCCTAGTGCAAAAGAAGCTTTCTGAATTCACCTGGAGTTTCACAAGCAGCCCCATCCAGTGCAAAGCCTTGCTGTGGCTAAGAAGGGTAGTCTCCTATCCTTCCTTGCTCCCCACTTATTTTAACTGTCTTATTTGCTAGAATTCGCTTTCCACTGTCTCACCTCTATGATCCTGTTATATCAGAGTACACCCACACAAACAAAATGCTGGTAAGGAACTTTATTGCCTATTGCTGTCTTGTTTGGACAGCATTACTTTAGATCACATGAAGCTACCCCTGAAAGCATACGAAAAATTCAAGTACTTGTCACAGAATTAGTACACAGCCTTTTGTTGCTGATAAATTCAAGAAAAAAAGATAAAATTAGAAGTTACAAGTTACATAATTGCAAGCATTTAAAAGCGATTTAGTGATCTTCACTGGGAATCAAAACCATACTTTGGGCTTTGGCATGGCTAATTTACCAAATTCCAATATATCCCCCACCACTCAAACCTTAACAGCTGAAAGGAATGGCAGTTGTTACTAGCAAGGAAGATTATGATGCTGATGTCACTTGTTAAGTTTGCCAAGTATATTTGTTCCCCTGTATGAAGACTGCTTTATAAAGCTCTGCATATTCAGAATTTCAACTATAGCTTTTTCTACTTCAAGAGGAACAGTCTGTCAAACACTATTAGAGATACAAAAAGGATCTATCTACCAGTTTCCTGACCTTTAAGGATGACTTTAAAACCAAGGACATAAGATTCAGGTATCACATATGTAGGGAAACCTCTTGGTTGTAAGCCAACAATCAAAAGACTCCATACACTAACCAGGAAAGCAAAATCAGACTAAATTAACGTAATAAAGGAAAGTTAACACTTTTCCTACCTCAATTTAAGATGTATATAACCACTTACTCACCTGAAGCATAGCTTCTTTCTGTGTTACAGAGAATGCTCTCTCCTCACAGGAGGATGGTTTGTGAGTGGGTGGAAGATCAATCCTGTAGTAAAGAAAGAATGAAATACGACATGCCATGTTTGTGAAGTCCAATTGAATGGTCAGTTAGATACTATTTATTTTAGCTGCCAAATCACCCAACACTCAACATTCAGGGACACACACCTTTCAGTCAGCAATAACATATATGGAATACGGTAATGTTAACACATCCACCACTGGCAATAATTCAGTCACACACTTTTTGTAGAAAAGCACCGCCTGTAAATTGTTACTTGTCCTACAAGGCGTTAAGTAGACTGAACTCCCCCCCACACACTCCAACTAAGTAGGATTAGGGACTAATGGTATCTATCATCATTTCTAGGTTATGAGATATAGCTTGAGCAACATTTACTACTACAGCCTTTCTTGGAAAAGCCTTTGAGAAAGCCTTACAATCATTACATGCAAGACTTCTCTATCGTAACTTTCTCAGTGAAAGCAAATGGTTATAAAAAGAATTAAAATGTTTAAGACTATTCACGTAAATATGCTTCAGCTACAGAATTTAAGAGAAACAAACAAGAAAACAGTATTTCTAACCACGTTAGAAATTACTCAGTTGTAGCTCAAGAGATTCAAATGTGGAAACATTTTATGCTAAATGCTACAAGTTATTTTATTCTACTCCTCATTAAGTACATACAGACATGACAGACATTTTCGTTTCTCATTCAGCTTAAGTGCTAACTGTATATGGCATGTGTGGAAAGACTTGTATTTACAGATATTCAAAGCCATCGTCACTTTTTATGCATGTTCCAAACAGGGTCTAGACATCATCCACTTTAACTGACAAAATCTCTTCAGACTTTGTTTGCTTGTTTATGTTTCACTGTATTGGATGCTTAAGTAGTAAACCACGTCTGCACCAGAGACTTGAAGGAACAACCAACATTCCAGAAACCACATTAAGTCAGTCATTTCTAAGTACACATCTGTGGGTGCTTGCTTCATTTTACACACATATCAGGATAAATCTTAGTGGACCTTCACTTCTGCAAAGCATGGTCAATTTGCTTTCATGTTACACCTACAGTTGATAAACTAGTATTCTGTGGCATCAGTCAAGATGGACCTCTCCCCTGTCCTCCAGTTCAATCGATGAGCAATTTTCTTTCAAAAACACTTCTGAAGAGATAAAGAATTATATTACGTCTGAAGTCATTCGTAGCTTCCTCATTTCTTTTTCAGAAATGCAAGTGACTTTACAATTGTCTACCCTGAAAATACAGCCCAAAATTATGACATTTAACAGCTACTAAGGAAACTTAGACATTTAAACTCCTGTATAGAACAAACGCTTTCTGCGTATTGCTTTCAATTAAAAAAAAAAATCCAACACATACTCACACTTTGTCAAGATAGGATGGCCTTTTTTTCCTTGGGGTCAGCAGCACTGTCACAAAGATGGTAATGATAAAAAGAGCAAGGACTGCTCCTATCACAGCCCCTGCTACAGCAACAGAAGATGTCTGCTTAAATGGCACATCTGCAATGTGATAGCATAGATTACACCTCTAAGAAGTCCACATACTTTCAATACTCAGATAAGCTATTTCAGCATTGTTCCGAGAAATGTTTCTTCCTTCCATGACCAAACAGAAAGTTTCGTCCTGCACTAGCACTCTTGCAGTCTTGGCTCCAGTCACCCAATTAAAAAACTAATTGAATTAAGAGAGCTCATGAATCATTAATATAATCTCAAAAATTTCATTGACTACCTCTAATTAATACTAGCTGCATGCTTTTATTTTTGATTTCAAGGCAAGATGAAGTTACAGAACACATGCTTTGCACTTACATGAGCAAACGAGGTGTTAATTCAAAAAGCTAGATAACTATGGCCTTATTGGCAATCTTTCTTTAAAGCCACTGAAGTCTGCAGAAAGGAAAAAGGGAAACTTAAAATCAGGGGAAAAAAAGATATACTACTAGGAGCAAAGAACATGCAAGCTCACTAATACTTCGCTTGCGCTTATCAAAGCAACCCCTAAGACCATCTATCATATCTAGGACTTCACACTTCAAGCTATGAGAAACAGTAATTTTTATAAATAAATTTTAACAAGGGGGGGGAAAAAGTTGGTTTTTTTTTTAAAAAAAGCATTTTTCTTTTCATCTCAGCATTGTCAAATGTGATGTTTAACAACTCTCATACTGAATTAACACACTTGTCAGTCTTTAAAGGTCACACATTTCACTATGCTAGGAATTCAGTAAATTTAAAATCTCATAAAACTGTGAAACCTGCTAGCATACTTTAATTCAATATCATCAATCTCGGTGTTTCAAACTTGCACCAAAAGGCTTATAAAGAAGTTGCACAATTAAAATAATTCACATTAGCTTCACTAAAACTTTTACCTGTAAAATATATGTAGCATACAGAAATAATGCTCTGATCTACATTGGTTACTGGATCAGAAAGGTAACAGCAAAGGAGTTTAAAAATTAACACAGCTCTATACTGGTAGCATATTTCTAATACAGTTTACTTCAGCTATATTCCTTCAGAAATAATCATATGCTGCGTTTCTCCAAACATCACACAACCATCCCTTATTTAATCTCTTACCAGAGGAAATTTTAGGAGCCTCTTCAGCTATATATTCTATTCACAGGTCAAAAAAACAAAACCATGCAGTATGTTTTATTAATTACTCATAATTCTAATGCTGTTCTGCCTGCATGTCGGAAAGCTGGACAAAGTCATCATCTTCTCATCCCTCATTTTGAGGACCAAAAAAGCAAACAAGCAAAACAAACCACCTTATTTCCAATCTGGTAAAGGGATTCCTGTCCTCTTACTGCATATGAAAGACCTGACAGCAATACTCTCCTGGGATCACTCACGCAGGTGTGTTTAAGTAGCTTGAACAAAACTGAAATAAGCATTTTTAGGACTTTCTTGAAGTTAAGGGATAAAGTCATAGATTGACAACTTGCAGGAAGCTAATTCACTCTGAAATCAATGTCACATACCACCTTCAGTGATCAATTGTTCTATTTTGCAAAACAGCTTTCTTGGCGTAAGCTCCATTTGTCTGTCAGATACCAGTCTATATACATAAGAACCACAATTCCCATTTTCTCCTGAATAATGGGCACATGAATCAGTGGAAGGCTCACTTAACCACTGCATCTTATTGGCTTAAGTTTAGTTTACACTGGGTGCCCTCTTGATTAAGTGAGAAAGTTGCAGGTAACTAATACACATTGTTAGGTCCAGAATTCATGAAGATGCTTTGGTCTTCTGATTATTACTTCACCAGAAGAGTTTCCTGACCATTTCACACTGTACTAACTTTACAGTGCCTTTTTTTCCTGGTAAATCCTGCTATAATGTTGAAACATCATAAAGTGTTACACTTTCAATGAAAGTTCAGGCATTGAATCTCATTTTGGGCGAAATGATAATAGCCATCCATTTACCTCTGAACACCAGGAAAAATAGTGATATCCCAGCAACATACAGGAACTGAACTGAAGTGCAATTACCACAGAGCTCACTTAATTTGCTTTTTTGAATTGCTTTGGCAAAAAAGTAGGCACAAAAATCCTATCAGCCTAACCAGAGGAACGATCAGAAATCCAGACTACCATGCCAAGCTGAACAAGCCAGAGAGCACCAGAGATGCATGGTGCCAGCTGCACAGCATTTTAAACACCAGTTGGTCAGAAATAGATAGGAATTGATTCAGTCCAAGAAATATGGTTAAAGCAGAGCTACAACAACTGAAAACAAAAAAGTGAAAAAAAATTGTTTTTAATGAATGTGAGTCCTAGACAGTGTATCAGCTGTGCTTAAAGTGCAACTGTTTGTACAGCAACTATCCCTATTTATCAACTATCCCTATTTATCATTCTCAAGGTTCATACTTTTAAAAATAGTTCCTAAAGAAACTTCTTTTATAAGCTTAGGGTCTCCAAGAGGAAATGCTAAAAAGCCCATCTTGAACAGCTTAAATACTTTAATTCCTTCTACCCAGCCTCTGGTTTTATTACGCTTTTTCATTTTCAATTTTAAGAAAATATCTGTCAAACATTTTTGAACACTACCTATGTTCCAGAATGTTAACAAAAAGTTTATTCACACAACAGCCATTTGTACTTACAATCAATTCTTTTTACAGCAGACATAATGTACAAAACATTGCAACACGCGTAAGCCCTATCCCTATTATCAACTTCAACTCCAAAACATTTCAACTTCTTAACCCATAGGAATTAAATATATATATATTTTCTTCTAAAAATCAAAACAAAAAAATCCACAGAGACAAAAGCAAGATATCCCATGTGGAGAACAGGTTTATGGTTATGTTTATTTCCAAGTAACACCATCTTTTAAAGATGATATATCAAGTATTTTTTTATTTGAAGAGAGGTATGATCTCTTTATTCCAGAAATAATTTGGATCAGAACCTTCTGCTAGAAATTTAACTCCTTTCCTTGTGTTTGCACTCAAACTACAGATACAGACAATATAATTTGCTATTGTTCTTGAGACTTTGGTCAATCATGTATCAGCACTCCATTAACCCAAACATGAACTTAAGTTGTTTAGGGATGCTTTTCCATTTGAATTTCAAATAAAGCTCTTGTCTTTAAAAAGATTAAGACATGCAGTCATATGCAATCACAGTGTATTGTCTACAACGCTCAATACAACTATTTTTGTGAAGCTCTAAATGCTGTAAGCTACCAAAGATCATGAGCATAGAAAAGAACTTCCAGCATGAATGCTCATGAAGCAGCTGTAATTATGCAGCCTATTTCATTTTAAAGGTAGCAGAGATTTTTCCCTTTTCAGGTTTCAAACACTAATAGCCTTATCAGCTTCATTTTTTTTGAGCTAAACACTTAAAAATGGCACTTCAAAGGATATACTACTTTAATTATGAATTTACCATTGTTCTGTAATTAATCTAAAGTTGTTTTATTCCTCCCTACATAATCAGGAGAATTAGTTTGGTGAACCTGCTCAAGACAAAGTAGAACTACTTCAGATGTCAAACGAGATGTCCTACATACAATGTCATTTTAAAGAACATGAACATGTTGTTAAATCAGTATAAATTATTTGCAGGGAAAACAAATCCACTGCGGTACAGAGACTGCACAATTTATCTAAACTCCTGTTTCATAGATTCTGTAGTTGCACCAGAGAGTGTTTTCACTATATGAAGTAGCAATGCAAGTGTCCAGTTCCCTACTAATAATCTGAAATTCTAGTTACCCCCTTCAAAGCAAGTATTGTAACTTATTCAGAAGCAGCGTAAAACCGCTGTTTTAACTTCTGGTCATAAAAATTCTAGCAAATGCTTTGACACCTCTTAGCACGCTTAATGTTTATTGGCACCCGGGAAAATAAGCGAATTCGCATTAGCCTCCAGCTTAGAAATCTATTGGTTTTCTTCCTCATTGTGTCCAATTCTCCAGCTTTCAAATTCAATGGTAAGACTCCCACAAAGCCTCAGAATCAGGTGTCTCAAATTGTACACTGTGTACTTGCAAAAAAGAGCCTTGTATTCATTAATGAGTTTTGACATCCTGCCAATTACAGGCCTAACAAAATATCTTACTGTCTGTATATATATACACACACACTAGCATAAGCTTTAGAAATGAATGACTCAAAAATAATTTTTCATCTTATTCAAAGACAAGCCTTTGACCTGTTTACACAGTTACTCCTCAAAATCTTGTTCATAAGTTACTTTCAGTGCAATGACTTCTTTTAAGTACATAGTTATAAGAAGGCTCATTAAAATGCTAAGAGGTATTCATTTTTGTGCAGAAAAACCTAAAAATAAAGCTTTGATTCTGCTGTAACTCATTTTAATTGGTAAAGTATTTGCTATACAGAAGCATTAAGTTTACCGTGGATGGTATCTAGATTGGAGTAATTCACTTAATCTGCAAAGTAAATGCTCCAAAAGATTATATTTGATCATTGCCTTAGGTAAACTTCTTTTTAAATCAGAAAGCCAAGACAGCCACTTCTTATTCTTAAACAATTTTGAATGGCAGCTTTAATTTAGCCTTTTTTACCTCTGACATAGACCAATATAAGCACTCTGCATTAAAACTCAAATCTTAAACAGTAGTACAGCATTGGGGAAAAAAAGCAGCTCAAATACATTTTCCCCAGATTCAACATTTTCATTTGTCAAGTCACAATATAAAAACCTTCAAAAAAAAAAATCAGTTTCAAAAAGTTTATTCCTTCTCTTGTGTAAGTATAAACAATCTGAAAGTGATCAGCCAATGAAATGAACTGTAGGTACAGGTTTAGTTTTCAGTGGTTACTACACATACCACTCCCTCCGAGATATTACCGAGCCATCTATGTGAGAAACAAAGTCTTCTTCATTGTCATCGTAACATTCACCACCCATATACTTCATTCCCAATGTTCCACCTTCATAGTAATCCATTGGTCTTTCGTAACGTTCCTGGTACCTGTTAATATTGTCTATATTGTT